TGCTCTACAGGTCCAGCGCTATGGTCCACCGATCTGGTGGAGCCCTGTTCCTGAAGACCCCCTCCATGGAGGAGCTGGGAATGCCCTCCCAAAATGGGTGAAGCAGAGAGTCTACAAATCTCCCCTGTGATAGATCTAGAGGACCTTTAGGCTCGAGGGTCTCCCTCCCTCCACCTTGAGTGTTTCTGGACCCTGACCTTTCCTTATATAGGGGTGGGCAGCATGATCCCTGGCTTGGGAGTGGCAGTCGATCAGTCCCACACAGAGAGGTGGTTCCCCAGTTTCCCATCAGTTATTTTGAGCACATGCTCTTGCAAGGGACAAACACATCCTCCATATCTGGACCCTATGTTTTACAAGGTTTGGCCACGTCCAGATAAGGTTTACATCCCTCCTAAGAGGTTTTCCTTAGCAATACCATGTTAAGAAGGCCTACCACTCAAAATGGAAGGTTCTAGTAGTTGACTCAGCTATTTTTTGCCTTAACAAGTCCCTGAAGGGCTCAGTTGGGGATGCTTTTTGGTCTTTTAAGACCCTGTGAACAAAAGCTTGGATGGTCTACTTAATGCTTCCTTCACTTTGAGGAGTGCAGCCATGCAACTGACTGTGGACTCTATGGGTGTTTGCCAGACCCTTGTGGCTTGGAGTAAACTCATTACAATTGATACATATGCCTGTTCACTGATGCAAAGATCTAATTTACCTGGTGGCTTATCAACCCATCGCTGGAGGTGGGGGAAGTATTTTTTCCCTCTGACCAGGGTCCTTTTTATAAGGGATGCCAGCCTGTCTGGCTGAGGAGGAGTTCACCGGACTGAGATAGTCCAGGGGATATGGTCTTTGAGGGAATGCAGACTTCCCTTCAGCAAATCGCTTGTCCCTCCAGAGGTGGATAAGTTGGCTTCACGGAGGACCAACAGGGATTCAGTCAGACAACGCCACAGCTGTGGCTTACAGCAACCATCGGGGTGGCAGCAAAAGTTGCACAGTTCAAAAGGAAGTGTAAATAATTCTGACCTGTCCCAAAAGGCATGTTCTGACCCTGTACACAGTTCACTTTCTCGGAATAGACAATTGGCCGGCTTAATTTATCAGTCATTAGAACCTGCATAAGGGGGGAATGGACTCTTCGCCCCGAGGTGTTTTGGCACATCTGTCCCAAATGCCAGATGTGGATTTATTGGCATCCCACTTCAACAACAAGGTGGACAGATTTATGGTCAGACCAGGGACCTTCGGGCCTTAGTAGTGGACACGGTTGTGACCTGTTGGATCAATTTCAGCTGATATATGCCTACCCTCCAGTATCATTCTTTGTCAACTGCTCCTCAGGATAGAGAGAGAGAGCGCGTTTGCTGATCCTGGCAGTGCCAGACAGGCCCAGAATAAGTTCACATCCTCCAACTCCTGGGTTCTTTCCGACCGGCACGGCCTGTTATCCCAGGCACGGTAAACTATCCGGCTTTTTGGTCACTGGCTTTAACAGCTTGACTGTTGAAGCTCAGGACCTGAAGGACTGTGGTCTGTTGGACTCTGTTATTCCTACCCTTCTGAAGGCTAAGAAGTTGACTTTTTGGAAAGTCTATCATCCCACTTGGAGGGCCTTCTATGCTTGGTGCAAAGAACAAGGGTTCTATCCAAGACAGTACTCTGTGGGACATAATCTGTCATTTCTCCAATCCAGTCTGGACTAGGTTCCACTGGAATCTTAATCTGGTCCTGTCAGCTCTCCTGCAGTCTCCCTTTGAGCCCATTAGGGATAATCCATTCACAGACCTTACTTGTAAGGTGACCTTCCTCGTGGCTATCACGTCTGTGAGACAGGTTTCAGATTAGGCAGCCTTATGCTTTAAAGAGCCTTCCTGAGTCCTTCATAGCAATGAGGCGGTTCTGAGACCTTGGGCCTCCTTTCTTCCCAAGGTGGTTTCTTCCTTCCACCTTAATCAGGACATTGTCCTGCCTTCTCTTTGCACTGCTCTTAAGCATCATAATGGAATTTCCCTGCACTGTTTGGATGTGGAGAGGGCAGTGCGAATGTACCTTTCAGCCACTACCTCTAATTGTCAAGTAGATAATATTTTCATCCTGCCTGAAGGCTCTGCATCTTGTTCAACCATTGCTAAGTGGATTGGGCGGATCATCACTTAAGCTTATACCTTGAATAGGGCTGGTAATGATTAAAATTTTCATGTTCGACTATTCGAAAAAAATGTTAATTGATTAATTTCGATTAATTATAACTCGCATACAGATCCAACCACATTGGCCTATATACATACAGCACAGCAATGAAGTAATCAAATTAACTAGGATCACACTAATCCAGCACGTTATTAATCTCACGTGCCCCACTCAATATGGTCGCCACTTGAGTGGGGCAACTCAGAATAATAACGTGCTGGATTAGTGTGATCCTAGTTAATTGTATTACTTCATTGCTGTGCTGTATGCGTATAGGCCAATGCCTTTGCTGGCGCTCGTGCAGAACAAATACTCACCGGCCCTAGTGGCTCCTTCGGCTAATGAAGGGAAGGGGGGAGGAGTCCGGTGACATCACGGACATCGACGTCACCGGACTCCTTCCCCCTTCCCTTCGTTAGATGTCACCGGACTCCTCCCCCTTCCCTTCGTTAGCCGACTGAGCCACTTGGGGAAGGGGGGAGGAGTCCGGTGACGTCGATGTCCGTGACGTCACCGGATCTCCGACGGGACTCCCGGAAGCCGGCCGAGAGGTGAGTGTTTTCATTTTTGATCAAAATTATTTTAATCGATCAAAAAGTTTAACGATTAATCGAGAAATTAATCATTAATTTCCGCAGCCCTAACCTTGAAGGATAGGGCTCCTCTCTTTTCTGTTAAGGCTTACTTGAGTACCTCTGTTAGTGCCTCTTGGGCCTTTCAGTACTAGTTTCCCAGATTTGCACCACCTTGTCTTTAGTTCATATGTTTGAAGTTTTACCAGGTGGATATTACCAGGTGGATATTCAGGCTTCTGTTATAGCCATCTTCACCCATAAGGTGCTACAGGCTGCTCTTTGAGTTCAGGATTGGTTCACTTGCTGGTTCTTGAGGGCCTGTTGGCATTGTTTGCTATGTTGCCCACCCCTCAGTTGTATTGCTTGGGGACGGCCTAGGATCTATGATTCAGGAAGCCTGTACTTTGTGTCCTGTAATGTACAGTTACGAAAATTGGATTTTTGACTTGTAAAATCTTTTTGTTTGGAGTACTGTACAGGAAACAGGACACCCTCCCTTTTTGTCCAGGTGGTTTTCCTCTCATTGTTTGATACAAAATTGAGGATTGCTGGGAGTGGGACGGGTTATATGGGCTGTCCTACAAATTTTGTTTTCCAGTGCCCAGTCACCTGAAGGTGGCTGCATATAACCCAGAGTCTATGATTAAAGGATATAAAATACAGAGTGCCGCCTACGTGTATAAAACCATTTATTAACCAGAAATACAAACAAGTAAATGTACTCGCAAACACTCAGTAAAAGAGTGACTTTATAAACCTGAAGTCGAAGACATGCTACAAATGCGGTTTTGAGAATTAAACTCGCCCCTGGCTTCCGATACAGCAGCCGCCGGTAACAACAGTTTGAAAACTGGACGCTGTGGCTTGGTTGACGTGTTTCTGGGGCATGCCCCTGCTTAAAAGCCATATCTAACCCCAGTGTGTGAGCCAAGTTAAGATTGAAGGCAGGCCAATTAAAGACCGCAGTTTGGCCTGCCTTCAACCTTAACTCGGCTCACATGCTGGGGCTAGCTATGACTCTGAAGAAGGGGGCATGCCCCGGAAACGCGTCAGCCAAGCCACAGCGCCTAGTTTTCAAACTGTTGTGACCGGCAGCTGCTGTATCATAAGTCAGGGATGAGTTTCATTCTCAAAACCGCATTTGTGCCATGTCTTCGACTTCAGGTTTATAAAGTAATTATTTTACTGAGCATCTGTTTTTATATCTTGTTAATAATGATTTTACACATGTAGGCGGAGCTCTGTATTTTATATTCTAGTGACAGCTGTCGTGGAAAGCCCTGATCCCTGCAAAGGAGCAGCCCCCCGAACCTGGAGTATATCACTGCTAAAAACCGCTGGGATCCTGAATAGCGCCAAGATAGACTTTTTAAAATATATCTATGATTAAAGGAGCCTGCGTCCTGTAATGCACTTCAAGGTAAGGATTTTACAAGTATCAAAAATACCAGTTTTATCAATCAGCTGCTGATCTTCTGTAGATCAATATAAATTGGATAGATATATTACATTTTACTCATCACTCTTACTACTCATGTTCTTGGTTAAATTTGTTTTTATTGGTGGTTGGTTTTTAATCTCTATATTCATGTTGAAGAGTTTCAATTAAAAAAATTTGGAGTTTTGGGATTTTTTTTGTTGTTAATATATTGTACTTTAACTAGAGTTACTGTATGTAATCATAACTTTGTATTAGTTTTAGTATTATGGTGTAGCTTTTTGTGACTTGATGATTATATGGTGTGTAAATATGCTGTATATCCCTTTAATGCTTAAGCTGCATGGATTGTACAATGCATAAAAGATCTTTTCCTTTCTTTTCCTCCCTGCTTCCCCTGTCTTTGTAATCAAGCATGTATTGGGTGAAATTTTAGAGAGTTGGGTTCCTAGGCTATGTCCAGGTTCAATAAAGTTGGAAGTAATGTGTTGTCGTTGACCTACTTTCCTGCTGATATCATAGAGAATGGTTAAGCTCTCTTTGGTCGGCAGCTGGAGTTCCAAAGGTGGGGGATTTAACGCAGGCTTGGAGCAGTGACATCTCTCTACATGTCTGCTATCAGTTCACTCATTTTTAGAAATGCTTTCTTACTGATAAAATATTTCTTGTTCAATGAACTTCCCTTTACATTGCAGCCTGTATTGTATAAAAGTGTATAAACTGTCTATATAATGAGACTTTTACCATGTAGAATATTCTGTTTATTTTATTTGTTTACATTTCTGCTTTTATTAAATTACTTCTAGATAGTGATTGTGGAATTTGGAGGAAAGCCATTCAGTTGTTCCAGTCTTACTCTGGCCCAGTGGTTCTGGTGCATCTTCATTGGAATTGGGGAATTATTGTGGGGTCAGGTTGGTTTATCTTCTTTATATATTGTCACTGAAGTTAATTCCATTTTACCACGTTGCTTGCATAGAATTTAAAATTAATAGCAATACCTCTTTGCAATATTTCTTTGATTAAGTGAATGACGCTGTAAGGGGCTGTATGATGGACTATACACTGGGAGCTTATTTATTGCCTTGAAGTCATTCATTCTATTTTTCTTTCCAAAGCTATGAAAGTCCCTTTCCACAACATCCAGTCCGATTTGTTGTGTTTGCTTGAGAAATTATAGAATGGTCAGTGAGGTCTTATCTGCAATATTGTCTCAGAATAAAGTCTAAGAAACTCAGTTTAATAACTCATTCTATAAATTACTAAGATATCTGAATTAAATTGGTCAGGTGGTTAATTAGGGTAAGTAAGCCCATTTCCAGCTTTTATCAAGCCACAGTGGGGTTCTGTTAACTACTTGTCCAAAGACTAAAGCGGGGGCCCAATCTACTTGTGCCTCATGACAATCGACTTGTGATACAAAAAATAATTTTAACCAAAACCGTATTTAAATGTGGGAAGAAGCGCTTTTCATTGGTCTGCGCAGTCAGGTCATGGCACAGGGATGCGCAAGACAGCAGTACAGGGTACGCATAGTGCCATTCGCAGTGGCTTCACAAACGGTGTGCATCATGCACCGGGTGACACCATCAGAGGGGGTGACACCAAAATGACTGTCAGTCATTTTGGTGTCACCCCCTATAAAAAATTTGGGCACTCGGTCATGAACCGAGAGCCCGACTGCTGCATGAGAGAAGAGGGGACTCGGGGGCATACCTTATCCCGCCGGATGAACGTCCCCTCCTCTCTTTGCCAGCGTCCATCACTAAGATGGCCTCTGGCAGTGAAGTGCATGTGGCGTCATTACGTGACCGCACACCGGGTAACATTATGGTCTCCATAATGTTTCCCCACAATTACACTAGATGTCCACCAATTAGACTCGAGCACAGAAGATCAAGCACAGCATTGTTCTCAATCTCCTGTGCAGCCTAGCTTGTGGCAGCTGAGACACGAAGCGTTGTGAGTACAGCGCTGCTGTCTCACTGGACACACAGAGCAGAAAGGAGAATGGATATTCTCCGCTCTGCTCCCCGCTCTCCATCCTGAAGTCATTTGCCATGGTCTCAGGTCCCATAAGAGCGGGGGACCCCGAAAACCTTAGTGGGGTGGACGGACAAGAAGGCTGCTACAAGTCATCTGGGTGGCTATAAAGCAACCCAGATCACTTGTATGAAATGAGTGGCGGCTTCCCTGCTCTGCATTTAGCCCTGCTTGCCCACATCAGGGCTAAATGTAGAGGGAAAACCACCTGCCCAGAGCCCCGAACTTCATGTCTCGGGCGTCGGGCAATACAAATTGCACACCTCTGTATTGTGCACACATACTTTTTTATGGAGCAGTAACAACAAAATGAACAGTGCTGTTCTGATGTGAAAACAGAAATACAATAGTGGAACCTACCTAACGAGCTACATATGTACAAAAGGAAAAAAAGACTAACCAGGGAAACAAGGCAGAGCAGAGTACTGCAGGGTAGTATACAGGTTTTAAACAGGACCAGCGCCAGTGCAGAATTATCAAAGGTAAAACCACAGGTCCAGGGAATGCAGACACACGGGTACATTGCTGAGGCACCAGCAATGGCAGGAAAAGCAAAATAGTCTCCCAGCAGTCATCATTTCAGACAATCACTAATGAAGTTTTGCTGACTGCTGGGAGACTCTGCAGCATTCTAGTCTAGGAACCATAGAGCCACTAACAGGTATTCTGGCTGACCTGCAGTGTCCTGACCCTAAAGCCAGGTATACATATATCGAATTTCAGCCGGTTCCTGATGCTGTCTGCACCCTTCCGCCAGGCATCACTCAATCAGCTGGTCGAAGGAGCTGTTTGGAAAATGAATGCCCGCTGTCAGAATATCCAAACTCTCTGCCTTTGTCAGAATACCCAAAAGGAGCTAGCAGCTGATTGGCTGCTAGCTCCATTTGTGTATTCTAACGATGGCTGGCAGCTGCTGTCAGAATACAATGCACACAGCGAGGATTCTTCCATCAAAACTCATAAGCGTTGATGGAGAAATCTTTATATTTTCTTTGTTCAGGCCGCAGGTTGAACAAAAGAAATATAAGCGTGTATACTCAGCTTGTTTATATTGGGGCTGGATTCAGAAGAGACTGAAGCTATCTTTTTATTGGGATGGCATTTTGACCTAATTTACAATGCTCTCCTGGAAGAGGAAACAATAGTAATAGCCAGACTCAGGATGCTGTTAAGCAAAGCCACTTCCACCAACCAGGGGCAAGTGTGCTTAGCTGAACTTAGACCTGGCATTTGGTGGGCACTTTTCAGAGGTCAGCATTACCTACTAAGCATCCAGCCTGCATCTAAGCAGGTCCTAAATTAAATTAGGTTAATTGGCTTTTTTGGCCCTGTTGTCTCCTAATAATATTTCTTTTTACTTTCTTGCCTACATAGTTTATCTGTTCAGTTCCTACAAGTCGACTTAAGTTCTTAAAAGAGGCAGGACATGGAGCAATGAAAGAAAATATTCAACAGGAGCAATTCGCAGAGGATGAGGATGAAATTGATCATGGAGAAATGGAGCTCAGGAGAGGACAGGTCTTGTGGTTTAGAGGTTTGAATCGGATACAAACTCAGGTACATAGTCACCTTCACAGCTACAGGCACCACAATTATTGTCCAGTTTTACGGCTCTTGCTATTTTCAGTGTAATGTAACAGACCAAATACAGATGGTGAAGTAAGTTACAGTATAAACTATTAGGCAGCCTTTCTCTTGATATAGAAACATCTTGTTTATTTGCAATGCTGTGCAATGTAAAATTTTAACACATTTCTAAGGAAAACCTCCACTGCAAAGCATCTTTGTTGAAACAAATTGTCAGTTTTAGGGTCATCCTATCAATAAAAATATTTACTTAAATATCGGTAAGGATTTGTGTATACAGTTTTGAATGCCCTTATCATTCATCCATTAAAGGAGAACTATGGGGTGAGTGAATTACACTCATCCCCAGATAGAGCCGACGTGTAACATTGAAACTGTCACACGTTGGCTCTATTGATCGGGAAGTGAGCAAAAACATACCCCTGCTTGCTCACTTCCCAATCATCCCCCTGCAGAGAGCGGTGATTGTCAGTCACCGCTCCCTGCTGGGATTCTCCCCTTCCGCTCTCTGATCCTCCAGCGCTGACTGGAGGGACGGACTGGGGAGGGGGCAATGATAGCTGGCTCTGCCAATAAACCAGTGGGGTGGATCTCAACAGTATTGTCGGGATCTGTCCCAGCTGTGGCACTCTCAGCATATAGCGTGCAATAGCCCGCTATATACTCAGTTTTGGATCATGGGAGGATGTTGGTATATGTCTTCCCGTGAGCCTAAAGAGATCTATAGTAACATAGTAGATAAGGTTGAATAAAGACAAGGGTCCATCCAGTTCAACCTATGTGTGTATAGGTATGTGTGATTGTTTATCTGTATTTCTTTGACTCTAACACTGCCCATATTTTTGTATACCAAGTGAAATAAGAAACTCATCGCAAAGTGTCTTGAATTTATCAATGCTCTCGGCAGAGACTACCGCCTGTGGAAGGGAATTCCACACTTTCACTACTCTCACAGTAAAAAAAAAACCCTATGATTTCTGCGATTGAACCCCCTTTCCTCCATCCTCCTGTTATGTTACTGTGTTGCATGTTCTCAATACAGTTTTCTTATTGAACAGATTTCTCCATATTTTGTGTTTCCCATTGATGATTTTGAACACTGCAATAAGGTCTCCTCGTAATTGCCTCTTTTCTAAGGTGAATCATTTTAATTGTTGAAGGCAGTCCTCGTAACTCAGGCCTTCTATCCCTTTAATTAATTTTGTAGCCCTTCGCTGAACTCTCTCCAGCTCGATGACGTCTCTCCAGAGAGTTGGCGACCAAAACTGCACCGCATACTCAAGATGAGCAGAACCAGTGATTTATACAGTGGTAGTATTAGTCTTTTGTCCCTTGCCGCGAAACCTCTTTTAATACATGCCAGTATCCAGTTTGCTCTGCTGGCTGCTGCTTGGCATTGCTTACTATTACCAAATCTGTGATAGGTCTTTTTCCATGGTTAACTTCCCCAAGTGGTAGTTTCCACACACGTTCTTTGCTCCCATGTGCATAACCTAACATTTTTCAACATTAAATTGCATTTGCCATTTTGTAGCCCGGGCCTCAATTTTGTTAAGGTCCTGTTGAAGTGCAGTTATCTCCTACTCGGAAACTACTGCCCTACACATTTTTGTATCATCCACAATAAACTAAATCAAACTTTTTAGTCCAATTTCTGTCGTGGATGAATAAGATGAACAGGATTGGTCCCAGAACTGAACCCTGAGGCACCCCACTTGCAACCTTTTCTCAGTTAGAAAATTACTGTTTTATTATTACCCTGATCCGTCTTTGCAGCCGATTTTCCACCCACGTACATACAATTTAATCTAGACCTATAGACCTTAATTTATGAAGTAGACGTTTGTGGGGTACTGTGTCGATTGGTTTAGCAAAGTCCAGATACACCACGTCTGCTGGTATTCCTCTGTCTAGGTTAATGCTGACTTCCTCATAGAATGTTAATAGGTTGGTCTGGCAAGAACAGTCCTTCATGAAACCATGTTGGTTACTACTTATGATGCCAGTTTTATTTGCAATTTCCTACATATAGTCTCTTATATATACAGTATATATTTTCGAAATGCAATTCTCAGACTGAAACCGAAAAAAAAAACATTGTCAGGCCGAAACCAAAACTTGTTTTGGGGGGGGGGACCCCTGATATTTCCCTTTTGAAATAGAAAAAGAGATTGAGGAGACAAGAGTCCACTCAGCTCTGTACCCACTTACTACCATTCACATCTGCAACCCAGTTCCACTGATCACCACTGCACCCCCTGCATTCCTGCTCTACCATTCACCTCTGGATCCTCAGCACCCCATGCATTCCAGTTCTACCATTCACCTCTGCATCCCTGTTCCAATACTCCACTCTCGTCAACCCCATGTCCACAGCTCAAATACATAATTCACCTATGCACCCCTCATCCACTGCTCACTTGCGATATGCACCCAAACCCCCGCTCCAGTCCTAGATTATTCAGTTCCCCTGCCAATTCTCCTGCAATCCACCCAGGATAGTTGGCAGAATTGAAGAATCTAGGTCAAAATAGCCAAACCAGAAAAATTGCCTGTATTGTTCTAGATTTAGAAATTCTCCTACCGATTACCCTGCAATTCACCTTTTAATGAATAGACCCGCTGTTTTGAAAATAGTTTGGAGAAATAGCTTCTGTAAAACAAGAATGTAAATGTGAGTTATAGGCGGAGCACAAGGGGGCCCCAATGTATATTGGGGGGCCCCCAATAATCTTGTATTGCCCAGTGTCCCCATGTGTTGTCAGTCCACCCCAGGTCATGACGCTTCCTCTTGGTACAGTGGCTGGGACAGAGCTGTTGCAGCCCAGTTCAGCATCTCCCTGCAAATAGTTAAAATGATTTATTGCTGGCTGTTTGGATTCATTTTTCTACTTCTGATGCTCTCAGGCGCAGACTGTGATCGCCCTTAGACAAAAAATCAAGGGAACGAAACTGCAACTTATATTGTTCTAAAAGCACAAATGCTTAGATATAAATATCCAGAACATTTCCTATGGTTTAGTATGCATCCATCATGACGTTCTTGTGAGCACTGATACTGAAATATCAGCTTAATCTTTGTTTGTTAATCTAGCTACTCTTCCCCAGCCGCTTTTACTGGCATTTAGCAGCTGTCAAAAAGACAGGGCCGTGCCAGTCTGAGGAAGGGGGAGGAGGAGATGTACGGCCGGACTAACATTGCCAAAGACAGCTACTGCGAGGTCCCCAGCAGGCTGCCTGAGGCCCCTAGCAAGCACGGGACCTCAGGCAGGCAAATATATTTAAAAATGTAAAGCTCCGGTATCAGCGCTATGTATGGTGTACATGTACTCGTGAAAATACCCATCAGTGCATCCCTAGTGGCAGCTGCTGCTTGTAAACGACCGATTAGGGATTCCTGCTGCAGGAAAATGCAAATGCCTGGCGCATGAATCCCTAATTGCATGTAAACTTACAGGTGTAAATGGACCCCCGTACAAACATATAAATAGAACCCCCGCAAACACACACACTCACTCACACTCACACACACTCACACAGAAATACACACATGCTAATTACACAATAATACAACTGCCCCTGCGCACATACACATAAAAAAAGAGCCCCCTTACCTGCTTACATTTTTGCAGGGAGGGGGCTGGAATTGGCCCGGGGGCCGGTACTTTGAGACCCCTGGCCTACAGGGTTTAGTTGAGTAAATACAATTAATCAATGTGTATAATTTTTAAAATTGTATTTATATATTTCATTCATATGTAGATTAAAAAACTGACCTATGAATAAATAAATAAATGCAAAATGAATGTGTTACTTTTCAACACTTAAGCAACCCTAATCAGCCCTAATTAACTCTTTTCTTGCCTTTACCCCTTAGCTATTTTTTTTCTGCTCTTGTTTTTTATTTATTTTTTTACCATTTTGTTCAGTGTCATTGTCATAGTAAAATTGGAAAAAGATTTGCAGTTTTAATTTCACATAATTTTGCCAATTGTACCAGAAACATCATTTTAGTGTCATTGTAAATGGAACAAATTGTAGAAAAGTGCTTGTAAAGGTACTTTCAAAAAAAAGCTAACTGGTCAAAACAGAAAAAAAAATACTTTTTTATGTACTTATTATTTCTTTTTAGGTCTATAGCATAGAAAATAAAATATTTATTTAAAACAATATTGTCAATAGAGAGCATTGTCTCCCCTCCCCAAAAAATGGCTAAAAACAGATCCATATTAGAAATGTGAAAATGTTTCTGGTGCATGTAGAGTACGCAGGTATGAGAGCTGAAGTGATTAAAACTCTTTTACTGCTTGTTCAGGTTATGTAAATAGTTTAATGTCCATAGGCTGGCACAGGTACAATTCAGTACCAGCCTATAATACCCCACATTACTAGGCCATTTTTTAGTTTTCATTGCTGTGTACGTTTGACAATTACCTGGTCATGCAACACTGTACCCTAATGAATTTTACATAATGTTTTTGAGACGGATAAGGCTTTCTTTTTGCGGTATTTCATAACCACAGTTTTTTTAATTATTATTTTTTAATATATAAAAGAAAAAGCCCAAAGTAAAAACAGTTTTCTTCCTTTCTGTTATAAAAGATAGCAAATACAAATGCCTTGACAGTACGGTAAGTAGGCACCCTAAGGTCTCATTTTTTGCCACAATTTTTTTAAATGAAAAAACATTCTGATATCGAGCATGGAGTTTGGTAATGGTGCACTACATACAGCGCATCATTAAAATTACAGGTCATGTACAGATGGGGGAGGAGGAGGTGCATGGCTTAATGAACAGGTCACATACAGTGGGAAGATGGAGATGAAAAGATTAATGTGCAGGATAAAGGAGGCGAAAGTGTTAATATACAGGTCACATACAGACAGGATGCAGCTATGATGTACATCACAGCCATTAACAGATGCACTGGCCACCTGGGTATTATGTCTGCAATGACCTAATAAACAGCACTGCACAAAAAAAAGTCCACCACTTCACTGTTTGTAAACCTACAGAATTTACATGTACATTGTATCCACTGTACAGCAGCAGTCGTGCTTCAAGGTCCCAGATGCATTGCAACAATTTTTTTTTAGATTGTGAGCTCTCACGAGCAGGGACCTCTTTACCCTCTTGAATTCAATTTTATTGTAACTGTACTGTCTCCCTGTGCTTTGTAAAGCACTGTGCAAACTGTTGGTGCTATATAAATCCTGTGTAACATGAATTATTACAGACAATCATTCAGTTGTTGAGCCTTCCTCCCTCTACTTAGCCATTCTCAAAGCACAGCTGCGGCGTTATCACAGAGCTGTGCTTTTTGAATGGTTAAGCATGATTTAAGCACCATTTTCATGGCTGCTGACTTATTAGCATTCGATTTAGCATTTTCTTCATGCTGCTCCATTTACTAAAAATGTTTGGGCCCTTGCCATAGCTGATAACACAATGTACACTTTGAGTCACAATCTGCTGCCTGCAGTGACAATTGCACCCAATCCACGCGTCATCATAGTTGGTTGTTGGCCTGGTCTGACACCCACTCCATCTCCCTATAGGATCAGGATGACTAGATTGGTGGACTGCGATTCGGACACGGACTGAACGGCGGTGTGTCTGATCATGTCCCTGCACTTGGTTAAGTCTGGCTGATATGGCTGCCAGCCATAAACCATTGCAGGTCTCCCGTTCTCTTTAGTCATTGGTTGCTAGAACCACTGGCATCCTAACAACCAATGGCATCCAATGTCCCCTCTTCCACAGTCATTGATTGCTAGGACTTCTACCGTCACTTGCAACCAGTGACGTCAATTGTGTGCCCACCCCCAGCATGACAGGAGGGGTAACCAGTGACACATTTGCCCCACCCCCAGCATCAGGCAGCCTGCTCCGCCTCCCTCTGCCTGTTAGTATGTGGGGACAATAATGTAATGGGGCACGACCAATTAAGGGGGCACTCGGATTATTAGTTGTCCCCATCAGAATGCCCCCTACATTAATTACTATTGTAAGGGGACACTTAATGTAAGGGGGCACTCTGATGGGAACATCTAATGTAAGGGGCACTCCGATGGGGAACAGTAATGATTCACTGGCCACTTAAGAGCTCATACAGCTATCCTGAGACCCTGGAGACATCAGGCCGCAAACCCAGAGCAACAAAGAGTATGTAGCTTCATATTATTCTGCATTGCTGTATAATGTATTGCTGGGACTTGTAGTCCTCTATAGTTGCTGGTATTCTGCTTTGTTGTGTAATGTATTACTGGGATTTGTAGTCCTTCTGGAGTGTGATCTCAAGGGGAGCCATGCTGCAACAAAGGTAATCCCAGTTTCTTGCTATCGAAAACAGTGCCCCGAAAGACTGGCTTCCTGGCCAATCAAGAAGATGACCCACTGCCTGGCTTCCTGAGAAGCTGGTTTCATGTTCCCTTGCAGCACTGCATACTGGCTTCCTGACCAATGAGGAAGCCAGGTGGCAGGTCATAACCCACCACCCTTCTTCCTGATTGGTCTGACCAACAGTGTCACACGGATGCATGGAACCTCCCTCTGACCGGCAGCTCCAGTATTGGAACATTTGAGCTAGTATGAGTACCCGCCCAAACGCTCAGTATTGGCACAGATACTAGTATTGGTGCATCCCTAAATTAATTTTTTTTGGAATAAATGTATTTCTATTTTATTGATAAAATGCAGAATTACAAAATATTTCAAGAGAGACTATATAACGATATACGTTTATCGAGTCTAGAAAATTATAAAATCACATATCGCATTGTTAAATTTTTACCGTTGGGGGTCATCACAACTTGGCAAACGTTACCCAGGGGTCCTGGCCCTAGAAAGGTTGAGAACCACTGCTCTATATGTTCTGTGCCTTTTTATTACTTCAATTCAGTCTATACTGCTTTACATTTTATTACCACTTTGTTTCCTCTTTGTATGGAATGTAATATATGTACCTGTCTTTCTCTAACATGTCCCTTCTAGCCTTTTATTCATCACTTTCCTTTTTTTTCTCTCTCCCCAACCCCCTTCCACCCTGTGGCCTTCCCTCATTTCTTTTCTGACTTTTGTGTGTCTTCCTCTGATTCCTTACAGATGGACGTAGTTTATACATTCCAGACGGGCGGTACCTCTTTACAAGGGGCTCTGAGGCGTCAGCCTTCCACCATAAGCCAGCACATCGATGCTAAACATGTCTCTAGTCCAACACATGTAGCTCTGTCCTCTGCTACTTCTCCCCCAGCCACTTCTACTTTTGCTGGTGCTGCTGCTGCTTCTGTGGGCAGTGAGTTCAACACTATTACAATGCATGCTGTGCACTTCAGCTGACACTGCTCTCTGTCTGTCTCTAGCACTGTCACTTTGAAATTAACTTGATCATTTAACCCAGAGATATGTTGGGTGTTTTTTTTTTCTTCCCACATTTGTATTAATTTGCTCCCCACAGGTGGCAGACTAATTTTTATATTTGGAATATAAGAAAACATTTTAGTTTTACAGTTTTACTTGGGAACAGTGCATGGCTTATTTTTCTCATCTCAGTTTGGCAACTAATGGGGATGCATCAGCCTTTACAGCTTGTTATTCTAGTATGTGAAAGCATGTGACACAAGTGTAAAGTCATGCTGTATCCTTAGTTGTGGATAGAGTGGTTCAAAACTATCAGTTTTTGTTTTTTTGCTCTCTGTCTCTTATTGGGCAAATTTTCCTTTTACTTCCAGTGGCTACACTAACACAACAAGAAGTGAGAGAAAATCTCTCCAACATGAGAAAAAAGGCTTTCTTAGCTGTCACTGCCACAAGTATATGGAATAGTTCTCCATTTCTGTTCTGGTGGAACCCCTCCTGGATTTTATATACACTTAAAGCGGTGTATTTATAAAACATTTGCAGAGCGAAAAACTCTGCAAACATCTGAATTTCACATTGGCAAAGCATTGCTGTGGATCCAAAGAGCATAGGAATTTCCTATGCTCCTCGCATTATCTAGTGGCTGAAATGCGATGTGAATATTAAACTTAAGACATTTTCTAAATACACCTACTAAGTTTTAATTTTAAAGTGGCAATGCTATTATATAGAGAATGTAAAATGACACAGGCAATTTGAACTACCTCTTTTAACTAGCCCTGGGAAATTTAAACATGGAACTATATTGGTTGCTATGTGTAACAATTCTACTTTGCTGCTGTTTTTCCATTTTTTGTATTTTGATTTATTTAACAGTGAATGATATGTCAGAACAATCTGATTACACTTTCTTTTTTTTAAAACAAATTTTGTTACAAATTAATTACAGAAACAGAAGGAAAAGGATTATACAACCATACACTTTTGTTTTTGTCTTGGGTGATGTGTCTCAATATTTCTCTATTACAGATGCCGTTGATAAGCTGTGAACTTTGGTGACTACACAATTTTCTAGACACACACGAGACATAAAAACAACGGCAGGCAGATAAATATTTGCTTTTAAAAAAAAGGAGCGTACTACAGTTGGTTACATTTAGTGTAATATTGTTTTAAACTTTATGTAACTACATAAATTGGAAATTGTTTTGGCAAATCTGACCTTAATTCCATTTTCCATTGAAACCTTCCTCCAGAGTGCATCAAACTCTGAACTGTTAGGATCCAATCAAAAATGGGGAGTGGTGCATGCAACACTCAACTGCACCATCATTTCATCATAACTCAGAGGTTGTTTGGGTTTGCTTATATTGGCAACTAATTAAACAACAATGACCCCATCAAAATCTAATTTTGCAGCTGGTATACTTTTGAATTCTGTTGAATACAATATTGATTAGAGTTTGGAGCAGAGAGTTAGGATAACATCACTAACACAGTGTAATGACTAATTGAGCATGGATTTCTCAATAATTTCTCAATATTTGCAGCGAACCTGGACTTTCTACAAAATGTAATTCTTCTTCTACTTTGTGTTACTGCTATCTTTCAGTTCAGTGCTAGCATGGCGTGTCTTGGATTGCCTGCAGTATAGGCATGGATGTCCATGCCTTTTCTTCAGAATGTGTTGCCATGCAGTGATAAGTGTGATTCAGTGTGGTTTTTCAAAGCTGCAGATCCTGTTTACATGTCTACTTGTAAGCATCCTAGTTTATAAATTGTACCCTCTCACAAAATGAAAAACCTTGTAATTTGTTGGAGTTAAAAAAAAAACAAACTAAAATATAAAACAGTGCTTACTTCTGCGCTCAGAACTGAACTGCTCTGTCTTCCTGGTTTGTCTAGTCAAATCAAGTAAGTATGGCTGGCTGAAGACAGCTTGATAAAGCCAAGTGATGTCTCTGGTTCCATGCATCCCTTGCAATTACTAGACCATGTCTAAATGGCTAAAATGTCCCAGGTAGTCATATGTGTCGAAAAAGCTCCTTGCAATCGGGTCATGATCTTTCATTGTTCTAAGGAGAATGAAGGAGGGTCCAAGCTACCCTGTGTGCACTGTCAGCAATGAGTGAAGTTTTCAGCAGGTTCTGACCCTTGTTTAACCACTTGAAGACCGAGGTGTTAAACCCCCATTTTTTCCAGGCCACATTTCAGTAGTCAACACTGAAGTAATTTGACTGACATTTATTCAGTCATGCAACACCGTACCTAAGAGCTTTCTTTAGGTGGTATTTAATCACCACTGGAATTTTTTACTTTAACTATATGAAGAAAAAAGTACCAAACATTTTGAAAAAAAAACAAAAAAACTTTCCCTATGTTATGAAACATTTATTATTATCCAATTTGCTGGTAAAATATAAAAGACGGGGTCACGTTGGTTAATAGATACCAAACATGACAAGCCTTAAAATCGCGTGTGCCTGTAAAATTGAAAAATCTACCATACCTAAAATTGCCCATAGCCGATGCTTTAAAAGCTTTTACCACTCATTAGTTAAGTGTTGACAGTGACTGATGGCCCTAGAATTAATGCTTGCACTCCAACATTCGTGGTGATATGCAACATGTGTTGTGGCGCAATCGTTGTTTTCACATGTAGGTGCACCCGACCCGTGTAAAAAGGTGAGTCCGGATCCGATTAACAGCAGGGAGAGCCACAAGAGCGCATGTCTGCTCAGCACAACATACATACCCCCCCCCCCGCAATTCTC